AGGACAACTTTCTCCCTCCCTTCAGTGATCAGGAGGAAGAGGGGCTCCTTCTCCTTTTCAAGTGCTCATTTGAAATGGTCTGAAGCATAATAAACACTGGATGCCAAGGGGAATGGGATCGTGGCTTTCACAAGTTAATTGTTTCAGATGATGTAAATCAGGAAAAAAGCACTTTCCCTACCAGCCAGAAAAAAAATTCTTTATTTCCCTATAGCTTTCATTTTGCTTAGGATTTTGGAGGGGAAGTGGTCCCATTGAACTTCTAGCAGTCCTGGACCATTTGGTCCCCCTGGCAGATCGTGCTGTTCAAACAAATGCTGGCTATGAACAAGGAAGGAGTCAAGCTGTAGAAAGGCTTCTGAAAGTCTTCAAAATACCAATTCCATGTGTGTTTATCCAATTTGGATGTGTCTATATGTAACACAGCCTTGTTATCTATCCCACAAGTTGGGTTTCTGTGCTGAACAACTCTTTGGGCCAAAGGGGGAGGGAAGTGTGTGGCCAGCATGAACCACAGTGGTCCAGACTTGGATGTCTTGTCCAGCTGAACATCTCCTTTGGGATGAGCTCCTCAGCTGCTGACTCACACAGGTACTGGAGTTGGGTTTGCACCTTGATTAACCAGTGCCTATAAAGCATTGTTGTGACATCTGGGGGATATACACAGAGGGGTTCTGCCACAACTCACTCAAGGAGGCGGATTTGCAGAGGACTGATGAACCCAAGTCTGGCTGCAGGGAAGGCACAAGAGCACAAGTGCTCTGCAGAGTCCCTTACACTGAATTCTGTCATAACCAGTAATGAAGTCCATGCTGAAATGTTGAGTCAAAGAGTGGATGTCCTCTGCTAAAGGCTCATCAACCCATGTCACACAGATCAAGGGAAAAATGATCCCCGAGCATAGAGTTATATTAAGTTCAGTGTTTCTTTTTTTTGTCAATGTTTGTAAAAAAAATAAAAATTGAAAACCAAGAAGTTAAATGCTGAACCATCATGAGGAAGGAGAGTGAAATGCCTGTTCTGCAGAGAGGTAGGATTCAAATGAGCAAAATCTGGCCTGTGTGTTTGGTCCAGGACTAAAACTGATGTCAGGGGTAGTTAATGAGAGATTGGGCTGATAAAATCCTCCCCATTATGGAATCTGAGGTTTAACCTGCACAACTTCACAGCTATTTTGAGGGAGATAGGGTGCAGGCAGCCTTCACTGCCCCCCAGCATTGCATGTTTGCTGATGGCTTCTCTCCACTCTCTCAGGTCCATCTGTTGTCCTGGAGACTCCCCCTTCTGCTTAGGTGTAGTGAAGGAGTTGGGTCTTTTCTCTGCTGTTATCCTGGCAGACCTTAACCAGAGATTCCAGAGAGGCATCCATGCATTTGGACATGCCTCCTGGAAAAGGATGCCTAAACCTCGTTATCCATCAGTGGCAGTGATGGAAGCAAAGCCCTACTACTTCCAGATACTGCTACCTATGGACAGACTTCCCTGCTCTCCTCCATCCTCTGGGCACATGTCCTTCCCACTGGTGAGTACCTCATTCCCAAGGCAGAGAGGACTGGGAATGTATCTTGCCTGTCCAGTACGGTGTGAGGCTGCTGTGAAAAGCTGAGAAGCCTCAGAAAGTCCCTTGGGAAATCGAGGATTAATTCAATTTCTTTACGGCTCCAGGACTTCCCACTGCAGAACACAGATGGACTTCAGTTTCGCTCTCTGAAATGAAGTGATTCCTCCTCCTGGGCAGAAAGAGGGAATGATTTCCAGAGGCAGCAAGCCCAAGGTCCTCTTGCTTGGGTCTTCCCCAGAATAAGGCGAGCAATGGAGGTGGGATGATTCACACTCCGAGCCACACCGCTGGTTTTTCTCCAGGAGGTGGAAGGAAGCTGGGTGCTGGTAGCCGGGAGGCAAAGCTGCAGCTGGCCATGCCGGCTCTGAGCAGCCAGGGCAATTAGAGATCAGAAGAGCTGGGGTGGCTTCGTCACATTTCCCTGCTGCTGTTCTGGAGGTGATAATATAATTCATATCAGAAGAGTTAGTGGGCTGAAAATGAATTGGAGAAATCAATCCAGAGGGTATAAATGAATTAGCATGTAAATGAGGACACTTGCTCTACATAGTTTAATATTGCCTGCAGCTGTAAATAATTCCAGGGATGGAATCAAAAGCCGCAAACAACTTCATTTTTGTGCTCCTCCCCCGTCCGGGAGCACCTGCAGCTACGACCAACCCACCCTTGCAGAATCATCGCATTGCAAGGGAATTAAAGGAGATGAGATGTATATACTTTTTTTTTTCCCCCCTGATTGGCCATTATTTACAAGGCTGCTGCTCCTGGTTCTGTGCACCAAGTCCCTGTTTGTGCATGCACATGGCAGTCCAACGTCGGGGAGGGGGAGGCCGGGAACCGGCCAGCAGAGAGATCTCGTGCAGCGTTATCTCAAGCCATCCCAGTCACTCTGTGGTGGGCTGATGTGTGTGTGAAATAGCAATTTCTCACCAAGAGCTGCAGTATGAAAGGTCTGTATTAGGGTGGAGGACTTACCCCTCATGGGATGCCTAAGGGTGGGAGAGGTGAGTGCTTGGAGAGCAGGAGCTGGCTGGAGTAGCACCTTGGTTCTTGGAGCTATCTGGCGAGATGGCATTTCCTGGAGAGGTGGGAAGCCATTTGCACTAGAAGTACAGTGGGACTTTGGATGGTGTGTGCAGTCTGGAAAACAGAAAGAGGTGCAGAGCCAGGTCATTAGAGTGGGGAAAGTGTCAGGAAGCCCCTTTATGAGAGGTGACTAAACGAGCACAGCTTATTTAGCCTAACGAAAGGAAGGTTGAGAGATGTGATTGCACAGGTAGATAAGCACAAGGGAGGGGGAGGAGCTGGTTAAACTAAAGGCCAATGTTGATACCAGAACATGCAGATACAAACTAGTCATGAATAAATTTCAGAGAGAAATGGTATGGAAGTGTCTAAGCACCAGAGCAGAGACTGTGGTCGAGCACTGGAGAGTCCACACAACCAGGCTGCTCTTACACTGGCGTTTGACTGTAAAATAGGATTATAGGAGCAGGTCTCTCGAGATCAGGCAACTACATTTTGTGATCTGGGAAGTTCTGCTTGTTGCCAAAAGCCCCTTTATTATTCTGGTAGGGGAAGGATGCAGATCTACGGAGGGCATATGTCTCGTTGAGTGACTCCAAGAGCAGTTGTTGAGAGCTTTTGGAGTGGTGCTGATGACAGGAGGTTAAAGATGATCCTCAACAGTCTTTTATCAGTGCTTCCCTCTTGTTTTTGACACTGACGGATCACTGAGTTCCCTCTTTCATCAGGTTGGAGTTTCAGGTTCTGCTCTAACTAGATCTCCCAGGTGGACTGGAAACACTGATTAAGATGGATAGAGTGAAAGCAAGTCCATTAAATTGTTAATAAAGAATATTACACACATACCTTAATCTGCAGCTAGCCTGACACTTTATAAAAGTACATTAGGATATAATCCAATTGAAGCCACAATATCGAGAACATCTTATCTCATCACAAATTGAAATTATATCATATTCCTCATTTCTTAAATTAAAAAGCTAAAACCTTTTAGTTTGCTCTCATATGCTTGTGTAAAACTTAATCAGTGGTTTTAACAACATTATTTTTCAATATGGGCCATTTCTGCTCTCATTTATTTACAAGAGAGAACTTCCTGCTAGGAGAAGTGATTCAATTTGCGGGAGGATACATCAAGCACTTAAGGATTTTGTAGGGATTGATTGATTATTTATCGTGTTATCTTGCCTGGAGACGTCTGATATGCCTGTGCTTTTGCTATCTCTCATTCCACCTAATGCTCTTCCTCGGCGTCTCGCTCCCGTCCACTGCTAAGGGCGCTTCTTCCTGCGTGCGTGTGTCTGCAGGAGCACGTTGGAGGGAAAGGGGGTCAGGGAAGGCAAGGCTGAGGCTGCCTCTGCTGGGACTATGGTGCTGGAGTGGGCAGATAGGAGAGGTTCATTTCACTAGAAGATAGCACAGAGGTAAGCGAGGTTAAAGGGTAGTTTGAAGTTCTGCTGGATTTTAACCGCAGGCTGCAGCACTGCTCAGCTGTACATCTCCGAGTGCATCAAACATGTCCTTCCTCACAAGAGGAAGGAGATGGGCCACAAAGAGGCTGTATCATTTGCTGGAAATGCCCCCAGGAGCAGAAAACAGCCCTGAAGGGCTATCAGCCCTGGCTGGTATCTGGTCAGGCCACACTTCCCAGGGTAGCCATAAACACCTTCACGTTGCCCAGCAAAGCGCTGGATGATGTCCCAGCACCTCTGTGGGTGAATGCTTCCTGCTCAGATGAGCTGCCCCAGTGATGCACTGCCAATGGTTTCTCCAGGGATCTTTGCAAAAACATCATTGTCCCTACACTAATCTGGTGACCCAATAAAGCCAGGATTGGGGTGCAGAGAGGAAGGGGCCGCCCCTTCATGCTTAAAGGAAACTGCTCTCATAGCAATAGCTGATCATCTCCCACAGCTTCACTTTGGCAGCTTCACTAGTGATGGGTTGTGGGGTCATCCTCCATGGAGGTGCCAAGCCCAAGGCCAAAAAGGTGATATGAAAGGTTTCCATTTGAGGGGGGATGATCCTCAGGAGCCCTGAGGGCTGTAGCTCAAACTTTGTCATGAATGTTGGCCACTCTTTGGCACTGGAGCATGAGTGGGAGAAGGAAGGACTCTGCCCATGGGGGCTCTTGGCCTCCCAAACCTGGTGGGGCTTTGGTGCATTGATATAGCAAGAAAGAAAACTTTTTTTGATTTTATTTAAGAAAATAATGACAGTAGAAACTCCAACTAAATGTTCAACTATTTGGACTGTGTTTGTCTGTCTGGCAGAGGAGGCACTGGGAACAAGGACAATTGAGGTTTATTCTTTTCACTGCTGCAGATTTTGGCAAATTGCTCTCTCTGCCATAGTTTTCCCTGAGCAGTTTGAGATCAGCTGGGTTTATTCTTTTATGAGTATTGTAGTGCAGGAATTGCTGTCTTCTGGTGAAAATAAATACAGAAATCCTGAAGCACGACTCCAAAGAGAGATGAGCCTGCAAAACAGCACCACGCTGGAAAGGGAGTATGTTTGGTTTGTCTTATTTTTCTTTTGCTTTCTGGGATTTTAGGATTCCTGTTGTAGGGATTGCACCAAGATGACAAACTAGAGAGGTTTGAAAAATGGAAACACAATCCCTTGACTCCAGGAGCTCAGACTTAAATATCAACAAATACCTCAGGATGCAGTGTGAGTGCTGATGGAGCAGCTGACTCGGCGAGCGTGGAGGTGAGCAACTCCAGAGCCCCACAGAGCCCCACAGTCCTGATTTGCTGAACCCAGTGAAATGAATTCCTGTATTGGATGATCCATGTGTATGGGCCTCCACGGGATCAGGGCCAACGTTTGCGAAGTGCTGTGAGATGCTTGGATGAAAGGGACTACAGAAGCGCAAAGTATTACTTTTTCATGATTGCTGCAATTGCTATCCTTGGGGCTGTCCAAATGTTGTTGTTCCAAGTGAAAATATAAAATCCTTTTGGCACGTTTCTTTTTTTGTGTTGTGATAAATAGAAATGCAAGAGGGGAAAAAAAAATCTCTTCCTAACAGTGAGAGAAGGAAAGCAGTCCCTGTGCAATTTGTTAGACATCTCATATGTCTCTGACTGTGAGCTGTTGAGATATTTAGAGGGAGTATTTAGCCAACCCAGTGCACAGCCTCTGGAGTACTGGATTCTGCTTTGGTCCATGCTTGGTTGAACCTTTACAGCAGCTTTATGTGTTTTTGACACAGCATTTCAGGAAAAGCTTTGATTCTGGAGGATGCCAACTGCGCCGAGTGGGGCTAAGATGATTAATCAAATTATTTGAAGGGTGTTCGCCAGAACTGGGTAGTGACCAGTCTCCATCCTAATCTCTGGATTGAGATGTCAAGCCGGCCTCCAGCTTGGAGCACTGAGCTAGCCAGGAGGCAGAGGGTGGAAAGAAATCTCCGGCAGCAAACAGCCTGGCAGTGCTGCCCGTGGTGGGGAGGGATGTTCCCAGGATGGGGACGGATGATGTCCATCAGAGGCCATGGGATGGTGCTGCTCAGTGGGCTGGGAGAGGCTGGAGGTGCTTTGCACATCAGGAAGGCCAGACAAAGCTTCTCTAGCTGTCATAGAGCAGGAATAAGCTGATAGTTGTGCCTCAAGCTGCCTTCCTCCCACCGGGGTGCAGAGAGGAAGGGGGAATGGTTGGGACATGCTGCACTCCTGTAGCTTCTGACTGGCCACAGGGTGAGGGCTCCTCTGCTCCCACATGATTCTAGGTTGTTATTGAATAGGATGGAGGAACAAGTAGCCTGAGACAGAAGAGACAGAGGCACCAACTGAGTAATTTTGAACTTGGTGGCAGTGTCAGTTGCTTAGAGGAGCTGGGGCTTTGGTTGGAGTCTTATTTAGGTGGTTTAGGGTGGTTGGTATGGGACAGTGCTGACAACGATGGCAGAGGGTTCCAGGAGATGAGAAACACAGTGGGGAGCAGGGACTTGGCTCCTATGATGAGCTTTTCTCTTCAGGGATCAGCTGGGTTTGTCACTCATCTGCTTTTGCCCTCAGTAAGTGTTTGGATGTATCCATAGCTAAAGATAAAGCCAGAGCACCTGAGAAGGAGAAGGCATGTGCTGTGGCAGCACAGCACAGGGCAGCCAGGGATGGGTTGAATGCTGTGGGATTAAGGGGGAAGTCACTCTCATGGGGATGAGGGACCCCCTGCTGCCCTCCTTACTCTCCTGCCCTGGGGATTGCAGGCAGATGGGCTTTCCCCTGTGCCAGGGCAAGCACTTGGCACTGCTGCATCGGGAATTGCAGGACTCGACTCTGCTCTCCAGCTCTCTGGGTGGCCGGTGTTTCTGCTTCTACGTGAGCCCCAAAGCATGCTGAGATCCCTTTTGCTGCACGAGGTGACACCACCTGGAGCATTTCACGGACCGATGCCCCGAGCATCCTCGCTCTCTGTCCTCCCCAGCACCCCGGCTGCTGCTCTCCTGTCCACCACCCAGTTCTTCTTCGGAAAACGCCTCTTGCCATCTCTCCACACCTCTTCCAGCCCCAATCTGGGGGGCTCTCACCCTCGGCCAGAGCAGCGCCGGGGCCGTGCATTCGCGGAGCCCCGCTCGCCATCTGCGCCGGCGGACTCTGGCTCCCGGCCAGGCCGCGGCGGGTCGAGCCGCCGGCAGCTCTCGGCAGCTCTCGGCCGCTCCACCGGGCACACGGAGCCCACGGCACCGCCGTCACGTGCGGCCATCAGCTGATGGGGAGGATGACTCAGCCGGCAGCTGTCGGGCCCCTAAAATAATGACAAAAACAATTAGCAGTCCAAGCAGTAGCCTCTCCTTAATTATCTCCTCCGAGTTTAATTAACTAGCTAAATTATCAGCAGTAATGTAGGCATTAATTATGTCAAATTACAGTGTAAAAATCACAAAGTGTGGAAAATGTCAATTCAGCTGTGCTCACCTGCCGGGCTGAGACAGTGCCGGTGACAGAGGCTCAGCCTGGCACAGGGGAAGGGATGCTCCCCCTCCCCGGGGGATCGGGATCCTGCCACGGCAGCCTCGACGGGACCACAGGGAACACCGACAGCGATGCCGACAGGAGCTGGTGGCATGGTTTTGGTTGGGAGCTGGTGGGGGCTGCCCGGATGGGTGCAGGAGCAGGGAGGCAGGAGCATTTTGGCTCTGGCAGAGGGAGGGGAAGGAGCGTGGCTCCCCAAACCAGATGGCTTGGATGCTGAATTATTAAATTATGAATATTAATACAAATCAGACACGGAAGAGGTAATAATTTTGCTGCCCTACAGAAATAATTAACATAATTTTGATAAATTACATGATAAGAGAATCTCAAAATTGAGGTAGATTTATCTTAATTAATATCTTGGACTTGCTCCGAAAGGTAAATTGTTCCACTGGGAACTGGGAAAGGGTAAAGAAGGGGCCCCTGACTCGGTGAGCCGGACATTTCCCAGGGTTAGTGGGTGTGGGGGAATGGGTCAGTCCCTCCAGGCTGCACCCTGGCCCTGACTCAGCTGCACTGTGGGGGTGATGTCGGGGTTATTCCCACCCCCACGGGAACACCAAGTGACTTATTTCAGGTTGCGTGGGGTGGTCTGAGAGCAGAGGTTTGAGCTGGTGTCTCTAAACTCCTGTGGACACAGTGCCACCCTCCACTGGGCTCTGACGGGCATTTTGGTGTGTCTCTCTGGCACAGTGCTGGGTGAACACTGATGTCTGAGCCTCTGGGATAAATGCCTTCAGCAGAAACTGCTGCCCAAGTGCCCCATGACTTTGTTTCGGGTGCCCCTTCTTGGGCATATGTCCATTGTGACACATGTGCCTGTTATATTCATCTGTGCTCACGGAGACACATCAGGCAGGTACAGCAGGTACAGGGTGTTTGTTTTTTGCAGGTGAACTACCAAGGGCTGTGTGGCTGAACCACTGCCGGTGGTGACATCCCAGACTGGAAGTTATGCTGGAAGGCATTCAGCTATTGAGTGATTTGCTTCACCATCCCTCACTGTGGTGTTGGACTGCCTTGCCACGGTTCCACATGGTTTTCCTTTGGCTTGCAAGACTCCAGGTAAGTCCATGTCCCTCTCCAAGTGTGTGTGTGATGACAGGCAGTGCTCTTCCCTTTACCGAGCCATAGTTATTGCCCAGGTCTTTGTCTTGGTGCTGCTGCTGCTCATCAGCTCAGCCTGCAAAGGTGCAAATCTGCCCAAAGAGGATGTACAGATGAGGTGTGCAGATTGCTTTATGTTGTGTAAAATTTTATACTTAAATCCCAGAGTCATCCAGGAGAGCATAACTTCCCAGAGTTAACTCCCAAAGCAGAGGACATCCCCCAGGCACAGGTAATGCTGGTACAGATGTATGTATGGAGATCATCCATAGCTTGTGGCATCAAACCTGCAACTCAAATTACAGGGCTAATTGCAAAATTAAAGTAAATTATGCTTTACTATGACATTTTTGCAATACCAGACCAGGCAATCTAGGAAAAGACATTATCTGCACATCCGTAGTGTCCATTTAAATGTCCGGAGTGGTGGCTCCGCTGCAGTTCTGTGCGTAGCCTGGTTATGTTTCAAGTATGTGTCTGCTGAAAGGGCTTAGAGCTTGGTTACTTGATACTTTTCTGACATGGGTGAGTAGGAGAAGAGCAAGGAGCAGCCAGGAGAGGCTGTTCTCAGGAGTCTTCAGTCTTGGTCTCGAGCTCAAGAGGTTTTTAGATTCACATCCATGCGTTTGCCAGCTTAATTGGCAAAAGCTTTAATTTTTCAGAAGGGTTAGAAATCTTGTTGATCTGTTCCCACTGGCAGGATTTAAAGCCTGAAACACTTCACTTTTTCAAAGAGCTGTACAAATGTTAACTAATACAGCCCCAGTTAAGCATAATCTCTATATGGGGGAAACAGAGTCATGCTACATGAGTCCCTTAGCCTGGACAGGGCAGTTGCTGGGTCCCCATCCAGAAGGTACTGTTGTCTCTTCCAAGCCTTCCCCACTCTATCTGATCCCCTGGCCTTGCCACTGTAGAACCAAGCTGTATTTCATAGTTTTTGGCTGTGCAGAAAATAACAAGAAGGAAAAACCCAAAGCCACTGATTGTCATGATGCCAAGGCACAGGCTGGAAGCAGAGACTTGTCACCATGTGGCAGCATTGGTGCATCCAGGTGAGACCAGGGATGGTACCCAGAATAATAAGGGATATTCCTGGAGCACAAGGAGCAGTAGGAACTAGTATTGGGAATATCATTCATGGAAAATGCACTACAGGACAGCCTTTGCCTTACTGGGAGCTCTTTGTGTGAATCAAGTGCTGCAGCCATAAATTAAGCTTTTTTAAGGAAAGTCACTGCTGTTACAGAGCACATGGACCAGCACCCCCCACGGTCACCCTGACACCCCTGCTGCTGCCCACCCAGCTTTTGTGGTGGCAGAAGAGGGAAGTTTACTTCAGGGTTCCCTCTTCTGTGGACCCCATCCAACAGTCCCCGTGGCTGGAGCTGTCGGCAGCCCCAGCAGCAAAGAGGGATGTGAAGCCACGTGTCTGGACAGTGCTGGAAATCCTGTTAAAACAAGGGCACCCTGCTGAGGGATGCTGAACGTGGCTCTGTGCCACCCATCACCTTGGCTGGGTCTTGCTGGGGCTCGTCCAGGTTCAGTGACTGGCTGGGCAGCCCTTCCTTGCACCAATGTTGATGGACACCCAGCTCCAGTACGGGACAGGGGCACTTTTGGGCTCCTACAGTCACCTATCTATGTATTTTCCTTGTAACAGCAGGTAGAGCCCAGGCTCTGGTGTTGCAGGAATACCCCGTGTGCCTCACTCCGCACAGCCCCGGGGGAGTTTTTCGGCCGGTGAGCCTCATGCTGTGTGTAAATATATTCATGCACACACACACACAGAGGGATGGACTGGCACAAACACCCGCTGCATCCAAGGATTCAATCTGAGTCCAGCCTTAACCCCTTCACCACTGCAGGAGGCATGTCCTGAGGCTCAGTCCTGTCAGGAGTGGGGGACATGCTGCTGGTGGCACTTCAGCGGAGCCATTGAGATGGGAAGGATGTGGCTGGCCCTGAGGGGACCAGATTGTTCAGTTGTGTCTGAGATAGGGGGTGGAGAAAGGAAACTGAACCTCAGTGTAATGTAGGACACAAAGGAGGGAATTTAGGAGGTCTGGGTGGAAGGAGGGTTGAATGGAGAATGGGGCTGGAAGGACCCCCCCTTTCAGACACCAACCCTGAACTTTAGGAGGAGGGTGTGGAAGGTGGGGGAAACTGGGGCAGCAGGAGAGCACAGGAGCCACCCCTACACATGCACACACATGGGTGCAAGCAAGGCGTTCCCACCTGGGAGAACACATCTGTGTTGTGGAGCTGGTGGAAACCTCATCCTTCCCCTCCTCTCACAACCTCCCCACTGCTGGGGCTGAATGTGGGGAGACTGGCGCTGCTTCTGCCTTTTGTGGTTGCTGTTTCCACTTTGTTTCAGGCTTCTCCTCTGTTGGGACTTTGGGCCTTCCCGTTCCCCAGTAATTATATAATTACTTCACAACATGCTGCAGGAATAGTCAGGGAGACGGCTACAGCTACCACAACAATGGTGACAAGTAAAACATTAATTTCTGGAGTTCTTTTAATTAATTCATCAGGAATCGTGCTGTGCGGGATGATTACGTTAAAGTGTTTAATTACAAATTTATATGTAATGATGCACTTTAATTACTTTGGACTGGTACAATATTATTGGGCCCTTTTCCCAAGATTCCTGGCACTGGGTTTGGGCTGCACATAAGCAGTGCCATGGATGCTTGTGCCTCTAAATTATTTACATGGCATGGGAGAAATCCGGTCCTGATTGATGAGAGCAAATTCTCCCCTTAGCTGAACGGGAGCAAGGGCCTTGGGGAATCCAGAGAAGGAAGGTCAGTGTGGCGTGTGTGTGTCAGGCAGAACACCAGGGCATTTTTTGTTGGAAGAATCGAGGTTAATCTGGTGGAAACTGAAGTGATAGAGAGCCAGGCACGATAAATATTTATCAAAGGGAACTGGTGTCAGGACTCTGGTTCATTGATGCAGATATGTCCCGGATGGATCTCACGAAGCAGCATGAGATGCTGCTGCAAACAGCCTTTGCCAAGCACTCCAGCTCCCCTCCTTTTGCTTGTCCCCTCTTTCCTTTGTCTTGCCTGTCGTTGTATGCACGTGTGTGTGCATGCACACTCATTTTCTTTCCCTTTAGGCTCCCATTCTCCCCTCATCCCATCTTTATTTGCCTCCGTGCACAGGGAGCATCTGTCATTCTTCTTTCTCCTTTGTCAGCATCCTCCCAGGCTAGATGGACCCCAGAGAGGTGGCCACGCTGTTACAGAGGCCTGCGAGCTAAAGGGCTTCAAGTAAGTTTGAGGTCAGCCTGTCTTTAAGCTGCACTACATGCAAAATAACCCCTTATGTAGTACATATATAGATAGATAGATTATATAAATACATAGAGACATATCTGCACTACACAAAGTAGTCTGCAGGACAGGCAGTGCCTTGCTGTTGTGGGTTCCCAACCTCTGGCACACAAGGGTCTGGCAAAATTTGATTTTTGTTTGAGTTTGGAGAGCAGGATCTGGCATGGAAGAAAACAAACGATTTCCTCTTCAAGAATAAGGGAAAGAGAGATCAGCTTTGGGTTTGTTACACTGACAGATCCCGGCAGATGCACTGGTGAGGTTTGGTGTAGTGTCGCTGACACTTGTCTTGCAGTGGGTTTGTGTCAGTACAACTGCAATCGGAATTTGCTGGCAAATAGCAGCAAATGGACCCTGTGAGATGCTCTCTCCCTTGTAGCCAGGACTTTGTGTGCTTGTTTCTTGTGCAGCTGCACAAATGGTGCATGGCTTAGCCCAGGACCGAGAGTCCTGAGGTCTGAGTGACTTAGCTGTGTTACCTGGCTTTGAACACACACAAAAAAAGTCACTTGCAGGTGCTGATGTAACACTGTCTCTCTCTGTGGGTGCAAGTTGCTTTTATGGGTGAGCTGGTTTCTGGTGGACCTGCCTAGGAAGAAATGGGAGTTTTTTTGTGAGTTGGGAGAAGTGCCAGGGCAGAGGTAGGTGAGGATTGCCTTTATGGCCAGCACCTGTTGCCTGCTCTCCAGAGCACCAGAGTTCAGTGACTGCTTTGCTACAGTTGAATTGAGCTTCAGACTCCCGTGGCGAGCACTGCAGCCCAGAAGATGTAACACAGGGCACATGAGATAAAGTCTTGCAGTGCAGGATGCCCACCCTGGACAAGCAGACTGGCAGCTGCCAAGCCAGAGAGGTCCTGGTGAAGCGAGGCCATTCACGTGGGTAAGTTGGAAACAGTCCCACTGGGAGCCAAAATACACATTGCCCTGCTGACTCAACTGCTGCTGCTCCTGGTGATGCTATAGCTGAGGTGATGGAGGAAAACCCTTTTTGCCATAGGAAGACAGGATATTTGCAAGCACAGAAAGTTTTGTCTCCCCCCCCCATGATGGTCAGGCTTTGCAGAGGCTGTCCCAGCATGTGGGAATGGCCCCTCACCGCACATGGAAGGGAGTGAAGCACTTTTGCCTGCAGGCTTCCCATGCCCCTTTCCTTTGCAAACATGTTCATAAGATGTAACCACATTTTGGCAAAGAGTGGGAGCTCCGGACAGCTCAGCAAGAGCAGAAGCACTTCTTGTCACAGCTCAGGGATTTCCAGGCCAAAAGCTGGTCCCAGCGTTTGGCATTGCGCAGGTGAGGTCATGCCAGCCTTTTCCTGGCAATATCTTCCTCAGTGGGAAGGGTTTTGGGAGCAATGGCAGGAGCAGGGCTTTCCTGGGGGGGGGGTGGGGGTGGGAGATGGGGGTCTGCGGGAGATGGGGATCTGCAATCAAGGTTTAGGCAAAATGTGTGAGCATCATAAAGAGCAAACCAAATGGGTTCATGTTCATCCTGAAGTCCAGAGTGGGACATATTCTGCCCAGGTTTGTTGTAGCCATAGACTGAGTGAGGGAGTTTGTCAGGCTGCCATGCAGGCTTCAGGTGCCCTTTTTTATTTATTTTTATTTTTTTTATTCACTTTGACCTTACTCCAGACATCCAGAAATGGTTTTAGCACCGGTACTTACTGTGAGAAGAGGTGATGGGGTGCTGCACACATCTCCACCTCTCCCAGGTGCGCCGTGCCAGTCAGAGGCACAGGGCAGCTTTCCAGGAAGGTCTCACCAGGCAGAGAGATTCATTTTGCCGTAAATAATTCCCATTCGTGGCTTTTCTCCTGCCTGCACTGAGCAGGTTCAGGTGCTGGAAGCAGAGGCTGCTGCCTCGCCAGGATGTGTTGGAGCCCCAGGGAGGGCTCCCAGCCATGCCGAGGAGCCTCATGGTGCCACCTCCCCATCGCCTGATGCTGGAGGGGCTTGGGGGCTATGGAGATGATGCCTGAGCTGCTTTAATGCAGCTGAGGGTTGCCAAGGGCTCCTCTTCGCATGGGGTCAGGCTCCTGGCGGGAAACCCCCCCCTTATCCCGCAGTCCCTTCTCCGAGCGCTGTCCCCAGCGGCGCGGTGGCACCTTGGCCGTGCCGAGCGCGGCTGGCACCGCGCGTCCGCCCGGGCTGGCGGCTCGGGGAAAGGCTCCTCGGGCTCGGGCCTGCCAAGGCCAGATGGTGTTTGCGAGCGGCGCCAGGTCCCAGCTGAGCGCGGCCCGGAGAGACGCGCAGAAGCTGCCGCCGCAGCCGGCGCTGCCAAACCCGCGGCATATGCTGCGCTCTGCCCTACACCTGCCGATGGGCAGGCTCCGCGCGTGGCACCGGCGCGGAGGAGGCAGGAGAAGAGGCAGCCCCATCTGGAAGGAATTTAGCGGATAAATAAGGGCCGGCGAAACTCAAAAATGGGAAAAAAAAAAAAAAAGAATGAAGAGATGGTGGTGCATGGGGGAGAGGCAGCCGCGCCGGTGAGGTCGCGGGGAGCACCGGGCGAGGGCTGAGCAGCTCCCAGGGGCGGTGGTGTGTGGTCATGTTCCCTTTCACGCAGACCTCCATTTCCACCAGGATCCTTGTTTCCCTGTGCAGAGCCCAGGGCCAGCTGCCCTGCCACGTCCCCACCAAACCCAGCAAAAGGTTCCAGGAAACTGCTGGAGAATGTTTAACTTCTTCTCAGGAGCAAAACCCAAACGATCGTGAGCAAAATTGATGGGAGAATATACTTTCTGCCTATTTTGAATTTACTTTGGTAAACTGTATGCACTCAGGGCTCAGTCTATAATTTATTGAAAAGAACCAGACTGGAAACCAGCTTCATACTGTGAGTAATTTCTAGCATCGTGTAATCTATCACCGGGAGACAGGGCACTTTGTTTCTCTGAAAAATTATTTTTTATAGTTGGCTTAGTAACAACAACAATTATTATTATTAATATTAATAACTACTTGTGTAAGGCCTTTCATGCGTGGTTTAGAAAGCGTTTTGCACATGGGTCAGAAGGTGTTAGCTGCACCTCACAGGAAGGGAAACTGAGGCACAGATTTGGCCTCACTCAGGCTCACCCTGGTGTGCAGCATCCTACTCCCAAAATGCAGCTTGGACCACTGGATGCCCTTTGTGTATTTCAAAAACGTTTGAGGGTTAAATGATGAAGGAGATCAGGGAATTATTTTCTTTAAAATTTGTGTCTACTTAGGCTCAAAAAATTATTAAGAAAAGTCCAGAAAGAAATAGCCCTTGCCATGCCCTAGTGGCTAGAGCTCATTCCCTGGGAGAGTGCAGAAACAAGCACAGCATCTCAGCTTGGAAATAGCGACTCAAACGTTCCCTTCACTTAGTTTTAATGTAGAAAATGTTAGAAGCCTTTGATTTCCCCCAAGCTGGCTCCCTGGTGACTGGCCTGTGGCCAGTGAAGCCCCAACACTGTCGTCTCGAGCACGGGGACATCTGCCTGGATGTGAAACGCAGGACCCATCCTCACCACAGCAGTGCCAGGGCTGAGATCTGTGGGATGCCCATCCTTCACTCCGTGCTGCCAAGCTCACCAGCCTGGCTTATTAAATAATGTGGTGACACTTCACAGGGATCTCCTCAATCTCACTTTCCAGAGTGGAAAAATGCCATTTCTGGGTAGAGAGCAGCAAAGAGCTGCTCCTGCAAACACACCAGGCACTGAGGACATGGGGAGAACCCCCAGCTCAGCTCCTGGGGCGAACAGATGTGGATGGAGACACTTCAACATCACCCTCTATTGTCCTCTCTGCTGCTTAGGCCACCTGCAAACTAAACATGGTTGGTCTGGACACAAGACTTAATTTAGAGAGCGAAACTACTCCAGGTGATAATTGCACTCTTGTGTGGAAATGGTGTAACTTTTTCTCCATACGTCACTAAAGACACTATTTTATCAGTAACGAGAGAGCTTCTTTAGCTGAACTCTATCCCTGTATCTTTCCGCTTCTTGCTTTGTAACAAGAATAATAATATTTAGCATTTATTATTAACACCTTACATCTTCAAATTCCATTTACAGGATGAAGGCCTGGGTTTCTCCCACGAGGCTGAGAGGTATGGCAAGTGTTATCTTCTGCATTTGCAGGTGGAAAATTCAAGGCAGGAGAGGAGGTAGGGCAAGATCAGGAATGGATATTGGGCTTCCTGCCTGGCCCCAGGCAACAGCCCTCAGTGTCTCACTGTGGACCACCATCTCTGGATTTGCTTACAAAATATTCTTATCTAGTAAGAAAAGTGGTTAAAAAAAAAAGCGAAAAGTCCTTTTCCCTCTGCTCACTCATTAGGAATTTTAGCTTTCTTTTGGTGTTTTTTCCTTTATTCCTTTAATGCAATGAAAAATGTTCAGAGCAGAGACATGTTCCTTAATCCTGTACAGTGGTAATATAATCTGCATTTGTTCAGACTCATTCAACCTGAATCATCCCTGAGCACTGAAGCTGATGTGCCAGCAATTCATGGCCATAAATCTACCCACCACCTCAGTGTAAGTGCTTCCAGTTGAAACACAGCAAGGCAGCCCAGGTACAGGATGAGGACACTCATTCCTACACCCAGGAACATGTTGGACAGAAGCCTTTCCAGGAAATGTCCAATTCTGCTTGGTTTGCTGTGCCAAAGTCAGATGTGTAGGGTTTACTGTGTAGGTACCTGAGCCCCACACACATGTTGCCTGTTCTGTCCGTTTGTCCAGGCTTTCTGGACATCAGCTGTTCCAGCAGGGTCATGCCACATCTGTACATCTCTGATAAATTCCCCTTTTCCTCCTGGAAAAAGACTCCAGGAAGGTGTGGTGGAGGAGACACGGCCCATGGTGGTGGTGGTAGTTAATTATCCAGTATACCAGAGGGACTGAGCTGTCACCATCACTGTTAAGGCTGGAGGAGCAGAGCCACAAGGAGAGCAGCAGCACAGCCCTGCTCACACACAATGCCAGGTATCAGATGGAAAAGCAAAGTGTTTCCACTGCCAGACCCATCATTTCTGCCTGCAGAAGTTAGCAAGCAGGGCAGGCAGCAGTCTGGGGAAAGCCGGGGTGCACATGACATTTTTTCCCTGGTTTTCTCCCGTTTCTCAGAACTTTCCAGGATTCTGCTCCTTTGCAGGGTGAGGAAGCCAACAGATGGCACTGTGCTGTTTCTGGAGGAGCCCAGCCTTGCTGGAGGCCAGAGACGGGATGCCTGAATGCTGGGGAAAGCCTTGCACTTCAGGGAAGTTTCTCCTCATGCAGAGGCACAAGCAAAGTCTCACCATGGGGAAGGATCCTTGGCACTTCGTCCACCCTTGGCCCAAAGCACCGTGCAAAGCAGGTAAGTTTGCACACAGCCTTGGGACATCATCTGTTAACAGGAAGAAGGATGCAAAACAGGTCAGTGTTATAAAGGTTCAGATTCCCATCAAGAACATTTTTCTCCCTGCACCCTCTGTGGCAGGTGCAGGCAGACCAGACCCCTCGGTGACGTGCCAGTGCCCAGCTGAGGAAATCAGTTGTGGGGAGCTGATGATTTTGGCAGGAGGCACAGGGCTCCCCAGGAGTGCAGCTGGGTCAGCTGATGGCCTTCATCTGCAGCTTGACTTTAGTCCCAGGGGCTCCTGCTGTTCGGCACCAGCAGAGCAGAGCTGAGGGATGGGGTGAGGCTGGGGTTGGTTCCTGGCAGTAAAACCCTACCAGGGTTTACTTTCTTTTTAGAAAGCTTCCCCTGTGCAAGAGTGCCCTCTATTTCACTTCCCGCAGGTCTGTGCCTGCTGCTCCAGGAGCAGAGACACGTTCCTGGCTCCAGCCATCGGTTTGTGCCTCGTAGCAGCACTGTGATTTAGGGTGAGTTATACCCACCACTCACTCTGCCTGTTTCCCAAGCTGAATCTCTAACTTGTTTTCAGGCCAATATTGTGGGGTCCTGTGGAGCCATTCTCCAGTGTTCCCAGTCCTACCTGCTAGGTATCACCATCATCATTGATATGCTGGTCTCTCTTGTTTCCAGCTCCCTATTGAGCTCTAAGCCCTGAGATATGTTCCCTGTATTGATATTGTATCCCCCATTGAACAGTACCTGGGATGGGGATGGGGAAAGCTGGGCCCCAAACCCAGAATCGGGAGTTGCTCTTACCCAGCAGATACATCTGAACAGGTGTCAAGATGGGATAAGCTCAGAAACACGACCCAATTTTCTTGCCTTAAGCCACAAGACCTTTCCTAGCGAGCAGGGGCAGCAGTGAGTGCCCACCACAGCTCCACATGCCGCCGTGCCGTCTCTCTGCCTCTCGCTCCTACAATTTGCCGTTCTCTTTTTCCCTCCCTCCCACTTCTGAAACACCTCTCAAGGTCCAATCCAGCAGAGGTTTGCAGCGTTTGCCGCCAGGATCCTGAGCATCCCTGCGGAGCCACTGCACACCCTCCCAGGACGTGCTCGGCATCGCCGCTGCCCCCACCCACCCCCCGCATGCTTGACCCCACTGCCATCCAGTGCCACCTTTCAAATCACTGAAGCCAAATTAGGGTAAGTAGTTATATTAGGCTGACCTCTGCCTTGTCAATCTTTACATCATTCAAAGGCAATTTAGCCTGTTCATTCATAAGGAGAGGCTATTGATTGAATAATCTCTGTTATTAGTGTATGGGTAGAACTTGCTCTTTGTTTTATTTTATTATTGTGTGTGCTGGTTGCTTAAACCTGCTTCTGTTGTGCCCTGCTGTAACTGCCTCTGCAGTTACAGTAAAGAGTACGAGCAGATACTTGATTAAGCCTTGCAGAGATTATTACAAAGCAAGGCCTCGTTCTGAATGCACATATTTCAGAAGAAATATCATAAAGAAGCATGCGTGTGTGAATTCCTAGAATCTGCAAGCACAATTTATCCTTGCAGGTCAATAGCTCATATTGTCTGCTCTGCCAAATTGTTCAAACATATACAATGCTCTCAAAACATTGCTTAATTAGATTCTAGAGAACATTGACACACAGACAAAAGATATTAATATCAAGGATTTCAGCATCAAATGTAGTTTACACAGATCAAAGAACATTTTTGGTGCAAAGAGGTTATGAATGTGACAGGTTGTTACTCCACAAGTGAAGAATATGACAAGAGGGGGAAGCAGTGATCAGAGAGTGGAGCACAAAGAGGAATAAGTACAGACTCGTGAGGGACGTGGGAAGATAAGGCTGCAGAAACAGAGGTAAAAGGAAGATTACTGGAGAGGCAGGGAAAACAGAAAACAGTGACAATATGCCCTAAAATGGACACAGAGCTTTGGGAAAGTATAGGGTTGTGAATAGCTGAGGTGGGGTAGGATGAGACTTGTCCTCTTTCATCTTAAGAGCAAGATTCAAAACTTGAAAATGTCTATAGGCAAAACCTTCCTTGAAATTAATGGCTCAGGTCTGAGCAGAGACTTGGTCCTTAGCTGGGAGCTTTTTGTGACTCAGTTGTTTGATGTGGTCTGTGTTGCTCGAAATTACAATGAGGCAGTGAAGGGATAAAGAAAGGGGATGTAGAGATGAGCTAAGAGAGCAGGGACAGGTTGGAGTCAGAGGTGAGTTGCCAAATGTGCAGCCCTAGCCAGGCCTTGGATCTTGGGAGCAATCAGATAGGGAGGGGGACAAATATAGTTAAGAATTGTCTGTCCTGAGTTTCACAAATGCTACTGAGAACAAGTGACATATCTGCCTATACCCAGCATGGGGAAAATTGATGGTTTGCTTGGGATGTGGATGGCCTGTCCCCATCACCTTGGAATAGCTACAGTGTCTGGGAGCACCTTGATGCAGCCTTGGTGACCCTGGGACCAGCAGAACTGCCCCAAATCTGCAGCCTGGGCTGGAAAAATGTTCAGTCTGGTCAACAGATCCTAATTCAGCTCATCCACAGCGCCTGGAACAGGAAATTACTCTCTGGTGGCTACCTGGAACAGAAGCAAGGAGATGGAAAGAAAACATGGGGATGTACGGGTAGGCACAAAGTAGCAGGCCAGGAAAACAAGCAAACAGCTAAAAGAGCAAGCCAAGGGGAAGTCAATAAAATTGACTTAAAATACATATGAATGAAAAAAATTAATAAGCCAAAGCTGTATTTAATGTCAATATTGTTGTAGTAGTCTGAGAAATCATGAATAAATAAAAGCAGATGGGGGATTGATCATCCAACACCAAGAAAGGCACTTGCAAAGAATATTTTCTTCTCAAGGCACACAGACTCATATGCGTGTGTCTCATTTGCTTTAATGGAAGTCATGTTTGTAAACTCCTGTGTATTAAGAAACAGGTAAACCTCAGTGGTTAAGGCTTGTTTTGACACAATTATTTCCTTTTTCTCCTAGAAAGTATTAACTTCTGCTTCAAAAGTGTTCCACCTGCATATTACATTATATATCACAGCAACCTGCCAAATACACTGTAAATTATTCAAAAATAGGCTGACAAATCAAGGACTAGCATTTTAAAGCATGGGTAATTTGCAGCATTATTAAAGAGCACCTTCTCCCTTCAACTTTTCCCAACAAGCACTAAAAGCAAACTGTCCCTGTTGCTTCTGACAAGGGAAGGATTGCCCTTATTCAAATTCTGGCCAAGACTCTGGGACCTGCACCTTGTTCCTGAGAGACACTGGGGGCTCTCAGAGCCAATCACATCGAGGAAGCTCAGCTCCTTGCCCAGCTTTGCATCTATTGATTTCTCCTTGTGGATAGTGCATTGTAATATCCTATTTAAAAAATTGGGAAGAAGGGAAACTGCATCACAATGAGCTACATATTCCTGGCACAGAGCGCTTGCTATTAGGCCCTGTTCCAGAAGATTGTTTAAGCATGCACTTTCTGAAAAATCTTATTTTTATTAGGCTCTTTCATTAGGTAGGTCCTTAGTTACACTGCAGGTGCAGAGACCAAGCAATTTGTCTGTCTGTCTATCACTAGTTCTCATTGCCATGGCATATAGCCCTCAGAGACTGAAACAGCATCCTTAATGTCCCCGTGAAAATGCATTATTTGTCTTAAAAATGACAATTACTCTCCTACATGAGAGTAATAAAGAAGTGGCCAGGTACAAAATAGTCAGAGCATGCTCAATGATGTACCATTTTTATCCCAACTTTAGCTCTCCCCATCAACAGGAAAAACAACTTTTTAATTGGGATCTGAATGGACAGTTGTGCCCGAGCATGGCATGGATGGTGCGTCCCACTGTTGCTTTGGAAGGGAGGAGGATGTGGAGGCAGAGACATGAGAAGAGCAGAGAGGTGTCTCTGTTTTCTGGTGACTCAGTTTATGGTCACTTTGGGCCACTGAGCAGGCATGGTGTGAGCTGGAGGGGGCTGGTGCCCAGCTCAGGAGCAGGGCTGCTTCAAGCACACACTTGCTGTCTGCTTGTAGCATGTTGTACCATGTACTGAGCATGTTTCTCTGTGCCTTAAGCAATTCATGTTTAGGAAACCTCTGCTGTAGCCTTCAAGATGGGTTGTTTAGCCTTTTGATCCCTTTCTGAAGCCATGGAGCTGCCAGAAACATTTTGTCTGCTTAAAGTGAGTTGTTTTAGAGCCTCTGTATATGGGATGGCCATCACGTACTTTGAGAGATGTTGAACTGCCTGATGAATATGATCTGATCCTGTAGCCTTGCTCCTTGGTCCCCAAGACAGTGCAGAGAAAGCCAAGAGCTTCTTTGTTTATCACTGTCACAATCTGCATCTTCTTTCAAACCTGTTTTTTTAGCCTGGGTGTTCTTCTGTTTGTACTGTGCCTATTACTGCAAGATGCAATTTATGACTTGTGCTGTTCAAGTGTTTGACAGTTCTGGTTTATCTGACCCAGGAGTTTTGTTTTTTCCCTGGAAATTATTAGATGGTTGTGATTTGACTTGAGGAGCTATCAGGAGGAATAGGCAAGAGGAACATTAATGGTCTGTAGGAAACTCAGGAGACCTATATCAACAGGTATTTCAGAAAGGCATTAGGGGAGTTATTGTTACAGAAAACAACTTGTAGAGCTATCAACTTGATTGCCACAGGACTCTAACCCAGCTGATAAAGTTATGTATGACCCAGGTGTGTGCTCATGCCCACAGGAACTGCATGGCTGGGCAGCCCATGGCCTCTCAGTCTGTGCAAAATGCTGCTAAGCGTTGGCTACTCATGGCTGTGAGCACCCTGAACACCAGCAGCATAGGGATGGGAGACCCTTGTGTTCAATCAACAGGTATGGAGATCCAGTCTTCCAGTGGAAAAGATGGACCGGTCCCTCACGACAAGATGCAAACCCACAACACGGGTAAGGAATGGTGCTGCCTGCCAGGCAGAGGTGGAAAAGGCTGAGGGGAGATTTGGCTTATGGTTAGGAAATCTTGAAGGCAGTGGATAATCTGAATGCAGAATGGTCATTCACCAAATCCTGTAATACAAGAACAAGGGGCACTCAATTGAAAACAGTAAGAGATTAGGTTTGAGAAAGAAAAAAGAAAGCTCTTCTGGACACGGCAGGTAGTGAACTTTGGGAACTTGCTGCCACGGGAGGAAAAGGGGATTAGACAAACTCATGGAACCAGCTTGATAAGTAGCAGCTAAAATCCCTGGTCAGGGACGCGCTTTCCAGCATCTCTGCCAAGGCAGCTCAGCGAGCCGGGCAGCCCGAGGGATGTGGAAAGCAGCTGGGGTAGCACCCTTTCCTGAAACACCATCTCCTGCTGTGTCCATCAGAGACAGCGTGCCAGGCTGGACATCCCACTGGATGGAGCAAGCCAGGGCATCCTGTTCACTGAGCCCTCTGGCACAAGCATTCCTGCTGCAGTGTGCACGTGCCGGCTTGCACGGGGGGCTGCCACGCGTCCCACGCCAGGCGTGCAAAGGCCATCGCCCTGCAGCTTCTTCTGCACCACAGGGCAAGCAGCACAGCTGCTGGGGTGGTGTTGGCACCCCATCCTCGGGGCAGGAGCTCTGCTGTCCCCCTGCCCTCCATCCTTCCCATGCTGTTCCAAGCCCCAGTGATGGCAGCTGCCCGGAGAGTACCTCGCCGCTACAGCATAAGACGCATGGATCAATTAACTCAGTTGCTGGGTTTCACTTTTGAATCAATTAAGTGGAACTGAAATTAACTAAAAATATCCTTTGCTTATTAACAGACTGAACTAATTGCAATAAAAGGTGGGAAAAAAAAAAAAAAGGAGAAACACAGAGATGCTATTTGTCACAGTGCATCTCTGCCCTCATCTTCATTGCAAATATTCCTCATTTACTGGGCGGCCTAATGACTCCACAGCCTCCAAATTGGTAGTGTCATCCCATGATGAGGCAGCTGTGTTTTCCACCATCACCAGCACATCCCAGATCTGCAGGGCTGGGATGGGGCCTGTCCAAGACCCACTCTTGTATCCACCAAGCCTCCTGCCCCGGCTGCTCCACAGGGCCTGGCAGCATGCTGCACTCTTTGTCTCGCCTTCCTTCCCTTTGTTTCTGCCTTCAGTTCTTTGTTTGCCTGGTTTTCCCCTTTTTTTTGTTGTTTGCATCCATAATTTCTCTGTTGGTCTCTTCATTTTCTTTCCTGCATGCATGCCCCCACTGTCTCCCAGGGATTTCCACCCATCCTCCCCAGCCCTTTCTTTCTCCCCATTTTCACCATCCTCTACCCCTTCCCTCTGTCCACAGCACTATCCCGCTCCTTCCCTCTGTCTTCCCAGCTGCAATTAGAGCTAATCAGATACCTGAGCAGCTCTGCAAAGCTATTAGTGGATTCCCGCTCATCCCGGGGGAGGTGAGCAAAGCTGGACAATTAGGCTTTTCCATGCAGCCCCCAGTCTGATAAACACAATAACCAACGTGGGGCAATGGGCACATCTCTGTCACCAGCGGGACTGCGCTGGCCATGGCCTGGCAAACATCCCTGGCCACGCTGGGGCTCCCATGGTGGCATCCAGCACGTAGGGTGCTCCTGGGGAGCACACCTGGCCACCCTCCTCCTTCCCCTGTGCCTGCCCTTGCTCTGGATCACCCCATTTTGGGAGCCTGGGGGTTGCTTTAGGTGGGGGCACAGCCTCTCTGGCAGGGCCAATGCGCAGGGTTTGTTGCAGAGAATTTCCCCGCTCGCTCTGCAGCCCAGCGCACCCCTCCTGCTGCTGGATCTATGAGCTGTGTGTGTGTTTTGTAATTAAGCAGTTAATTGCACTGGAGTTCTTGATTAGCTTTGGGGGATGGTAATGTTCTAGCAGGATGAGATGTTGTGTACAGTTCAGAATCATTTACAGAAATTGGAGCTAATTTTGCTGTCTGTGCTTATTACTGCATTAATTTAATTTGGGTTGCTTTTAGCTCATTAACACATCTAATTAATTCGTTGACATCACTATTAAGATGTCTCTTTGAAATTGGCGTCTCCAGATAATCAGGATGGAAGAGGCTGACAGATCAGGCGCGAAGCTGACTGGGAAAATGGGGAAGAAAAAAAAAAAGGGACGACTAATGAATTTTCCATCAGAATCGCATGGTTTGTCAGAGTTGGTATCAGAGAGGCAGAGACAGAGCTGGTGAGACAGAGAAAGGGCACGAGAGAGACAGCAGTGGTAAAGGGAGACCAGTTCCTTCAAAAATATGATATTTGTTAGGAGAGCAAGCAAGACGCGTGAGAGGACAATAAATATTCTTTAGTGAATCGACATCAAGGCTGCATATTTCTTAGTTAATTTTCCTCTCTCCCTGGTTTTCCATTGTGGCCTTTTGGCTTTTTTCATTTTTTTTTTTCCACACTGCAAATGATTTTGTTCTCCCAGTGCTGGGGGCTTTGATGGCCCGACTGGGCTGAGGATTGTGCATTGCCCCTCCTGCCACCACGGGTCCTGCTCTGCCAGGGATGGGGAGCAGGCTGCAGGGATGGGAGACCCTCTGTGCCCTGTGCTGCAGAGAGTACAGGGTTCAGGGCATGGATGGACAATTGCAAGCAATTAAATTACAGTGGTTAAATGAGTTTGCACATATCAGCAGAGCCTCACTGTCTGGCTTTATGGTGGCCCAGCTGCATTTGTGAAATGAAACAGCTTAGCTTAAGCCTGCCTTCACTGTGGTTGTAGCAAAAGGGAAATGCACTATGGGTTTGGAGGGGCGGTTGTGGCTCATGGGACTGGGAGAAAGTCACAGCAAGACTTTACCAGGAGCTGCTGGTCTTGTCAGTGGGAAGAAGCCCCAGAGCAGAGGTGGCTCTGGGGCACCCAGGGCAGCCCATCTGAAGGTAAAAACACCCTTTTTGACATTCACAGGTGACACTGAACTGGGAGCCTGGGACACCACTGAAGCCTGGGAAATCATCTGCAGAGGGGCAAATGTGAGCAAACCCAGAAAAGGGGGGTTGGTAGCAAGGAGGCAAAGAAGGCCTTCCCCAGGCAAGACACAAGTTTTCTGCAAATTGCAGAAAACACCACCTCTTTCTGTTCCACATTCCCTCTGACAGGTGGGATAGAAACAGTAGAAACAGCCCAAAACCCACTTCACCCATGGTTTTAGCCTTTTTGAAGTCACAGAACACACAGGTTTTCATGGTGCATGTGCAGACCCCTCCATACACTTACAATTTGTGCTGACTGACAGCAAACCAGCTTCTCTCAGTTACCTTCCACAACTCCTGATGGTTCCCTCTGGAGTCTGTGGGCAAACACATTGAAACCACCAATCCAGTTAACTCAGCACAGTTCCAACCACATACTGAATGCTCCAGTCAGCATGCTTGTTTCTGGAAGCATTGTCAGTGGAGTTAGTAACATAAGTACATAACATATCTACAAACATAATGTTTCCTTCCCACCATTCCTGTGCCCCTCTCCAGGGAGATGCAATGTGGATGGAGGCAGTAGAAGGAGCATTTTCACCGGGAATAGCTATCCTGCAGAAAGACTTTTGTAAAATGGCTTCAAACTAACTGATTTTATAGGAGAAGAAAATCTCAAGTTCCAGTACAAAGGCTGTTGTGGAGGGAGAGAATGATTTTGAAGGGTCTGTGCATGGCAGCTGATTCCATGGGTGGACCTTGAGGGCTCTGAGATCAATGTGCTGCCCTGTTCACTGAACCCAGGCAGACCAGCCCTGTGCCCCTTGCTCCAGGGACATCCCTGTCCTCATCAGATTCATTGTCTGTGTGCCCTCTCAGGCTGGAAAAGCCAAATGGAGAAAGCAATTTTTGCCTCACAGCAATTAAAAGCTTTGCTGAGAGTGAGAGGCCGGGGGGGTATCACAGGCAGGAGGGATGGACCCTGTGAGAGGAGGCTCCAGGGTGCCCCCAGGTAGGATCTAGGTGATGGTGAGGGGTTGCAGAGATGAAATCTCCTTCATTACTTTCTTTGCTTTGCTCAAACCTCACTTGGGAGAAGCCAGTGGTGGTGGACAGAGATGGAACAGGGCCCAGAGCTTCTCACTGCAGGGTAAAGGTAGCTGAGCTCTCTGTTGTGCACGGTGGGATGGGCGTGGGGAGGCTCTGCATTCTCACCAGGGTTGTCAGCCTTGGAAACACATATTGTGTGTAGGAATCTACCTGGTTTTCAAAGATATCAAACCAGGCTGGGGCCAAACTATAAATGGAGGAGACTGGTTTTAAGAGTCTCTTTTCTGGCAGTCTTGTTTACCCCACTGCCATCAAGCTGAAACACCTGGGCTGGTACCACCACTGGTGCTGTCTTCTGTTCTTTTTCTCAAATGGAGATCAAATCCTCCTTTCAGCCCACCCTAAAAGAGAGAAGGCCAGTATCACACTGAAAAGCACAGGAGTGAATTGAATTGGCTTCCTCAGTTTCCTTGTTTAGCAGTGCTAAAATGGAGCCTGTTTGTAGGTTTCTTCTTCTACCTGTGATTTGGGAAAAAAAAACCACCCCAGAAGTATCCCCAGTGTCAGTCTAACAAATGAAGACAAACAAGTCTTTCTCCCCTGCATCACAGGGCTTCCTGTGAGGGGCACAGAGTGATTTACTCCAATTCTGAGCTGCAGTTTCCACCTGGGGAGGAGAAGTTTGCTTAAATTCCTATTCAATTTCATTCAAGGGAAGAATATTAGAAACTCTACTCTTTAGCACTTCATTAAACACTTTAGTTTAATAGCATCCTCCAGGGAATCCCAATCTGGACCACGTGAACCAGGAGTAAACAGCTGCATCAATTAACCCCATAATCTCAAGGGTGCTATTAGAAGGTGAGATACCCTTAGAAAGTGCATATGCCTGCAATTAGGCTTAAAATACTTATGTGTCAATAGCCTTAGTTATTTGTGCTCTCTGCTATTGATCTTGCTTATGTTTTCCACATTAAACAGTCTTTCTTACTTCATCAATAAATTAAGTGCTCTTTAGATTTATTCACTTTTTCTATTAAATGGTGCAAACTCCTGAGCTCCTGGCCTGGCTGTATCTGAGATCAGGGGCTTTAACCCTCTTCACTGGCAGCTCCATCTTGCTTTTGTTTCAGGAGCTGGGGGAAGCAGCAGTGGGAAAGGAAATGCGGGAGCTGCTGGCTTGGGTTGACCATTAGCAGAGCTCAGGCAGGGAAAAGGAGGCATTTGGGCTGGGTTTGCTGGATATGCCATTTTATGTGTTTGTTTTTCCTGCCTAGATCAGATTTGGAGAAGATCTTAGAGAGGGCCAGCTTTCCACACCATCAACGTAACAGAAATGTTTCTGCCACAGAGGAATTTGAGGAGGAGACACGATCTACAAGACCATGTAGAAGATGCTCTTCCTGGCTTTTTTTCACAGTAAAAGGCTTCAGGAAGAGCTTTAAATCTTCTGAAATGGCAACCAGCCAGGCAGGGAGCCTGCTCTTTTTCCTCCTCTTTTTTTCCATCAGCTTCATTACTGATTGCAGCCCCTCCCTTCAGATCATTTGGCCCCAAAACAGGTGTGTGCACAGAATGTGACTGTGCTGTGTTGCTGGCTGGAAGCTGGGACCGCTCCGGGACATTCAGGTGCTCCAGAAAGGTGTGAAACAGTGGAGAGACCTTTCCTGCAAAGCAGGTTGAGAAGAGGGCTTGAGGAGGGGGAAAGTTTTGTACTGTTTATTTTTTGTAGCTAGAGTTTTAAGTCCTAATTCTTACTCGTATGGGAATGGACCAAGGGTGGGGCCCTGCTGCAGGGTAAGTGCTGTGCTGAGGGTTGAGCACGCTGAATGAAGCAGCAGCACTTGCCAAGGGCTGGTGGCCTCATATGCTGAAAGTATCTACTGTCCTTTTCATTCTTTAACTTTTTCAAGTGGCTTTTCTTGTTTTCAACACCTCCCTTGGAGACCTGATGCCTTTCTATAAGGAAATTGTCCAGGATGTGGCACTTAGGGACATGGTTTAGTTGTGGAGTTGGCATTGCTGGGTTAACAGTTGGATTCAATGATCTTTTCCAACCTAAAGGATTATGTGTTTATTTTCATGGAAGCAATTCTGGAAGCAATTTTTTTTCCCTCTGGTCATCCTGACTTTTTTTGTGTTATGCTCAATGAATGTTGTGGTGTTTCATTAGAAAACATGCCTGAAAAAACGGAAAACTTGGGGCATTTAAAAGAATAGTCTGTCAGATAGTTTGCATTGTTAAGTTTGCTGTTCCCTGCCCGTCTGGTGTGTATCAGTGCATGCAGGATTTTATTTTTACCCAGGCATTCCTGACCGGAGGGAGGCCGGCAGGCCCTTGTTGTTGCAATTAAACCATGTGCTACTTTCCATAACTCATTAGCCCTTTAGTTTCTGGATTAATTCAATGTGCAAATAATGTCACAAATTGAATATTAGTAGACTTCTATTGAGGATTAAGCGGCAGTAAAAGCATATCAGTGTGTCTTCATTTTGCTTTGCACGACTGTGGTTTGTCCGGCGTAGCAAGTGGTTAGTTAACTACCCGATAGCTCACCACCTCCTTTCCTCTCCTGGCTTGTCATGTAATAGCCCAGAAACTAGAAGATAAAAACAACAACTGTGCATGTGAAAGTGGAGGTACAACAAAAGAATCACTGCACAGTGTCCTAACTCCTTTTTCAGAGGAGAGCTTTGCATGAGGATGGCCCCAGCTCTTTTACAGTTGCTCCCACAAGCACCCAGCAGCACCCAACAGCCCACAGTCAGCTAATGGGCTGTACTTGCTCCAAGTTAAACATTTCACCTGTGTCATAGCATGGATTTTGCAATGGATTTTATCACCCCCAATTCTTTTCAGATACACAGTTGGGGTGGGATTGCTAAAACCAGTCTGAGCATTCCTACTGTTGCTCAGAGATGAAGAAGAAAAGCAGGTTTTGGAGGGGTTGCAATGTCCCATCCCTGTCAAAGATCTCTGTGAGGACCCCCAGCACCTACCCCCGAGGGTCTAGTTGTGGGTTTGGGACCCACGGTGGGTAGTGCCAGGCCAACATGAGCCCAAAGCTTTTAACTTCAGACAAGTTGATGTGGGGAGGATGGCCCCCTGACATGAGAACTTTTAGGGCACTGCAGAGCAAAATGGGTGCAGCTTTCTTTTAATGCACTGAAGTGGAGGCAAATTTCAATCTAATAATGTAAAGCAGCAATAACCATTATAATTAATTTATATAAAACACATTATAAAATTACACTTGATGCATTAAAATCCCATCCAGGAGCAGTGCTCGTTTTCCAGTTAAGCTATGGGCTGTGCTAAGGCAGACGGGGAAAGAGGTATTTCAATATGTCTTATAATTTTATATTCTTTCTAATATCTCTCATGCTAATTTCATTATGCAACACAGTCAGCACAGTGATGTAATTATTGAAAAGTAATTTTGCAATAAATGGATTTAAATGTGTTCAAGTCCATTGTAAATTCAATCTCTTGGTAAAGGTGGATTGAACAGGCAGGAAAAAGGGAGCAGGGACGTCGCTGGGTGAAAACTGAGAAGTCTTGAGCATCCCATGTCAAGCATCTGCTTACACCAACTAATAACATCCACTTCAGATGGAGACCAGTCTCAGAGCCAGCTTCCCTCCCTTTGAGTCCCCAAAGCTGCTCCTTGCAAAGGGCACTTCCAGCCTTCACTGTGGGGGAAATTTCGTGTCAGTCAAGTCTCCTCCCAGAGCAAGGCACTGCCATTGCTGGGTCTGTGCTGCTCTCAGCAAAGTGGGTCCTGTGTGGGTGTCTTAGTCTGGATTAAGGGCTCAGTTACTGGGCAGGGACATAAAGATATTCTTCTGCATAAGACATGGGAGATGGGATTTCTATTCCTGGCTCTGTCAGAAACTTCCTATGTGATACTGGGCAAGCAGTATATCATCTCTGTGCTTCCATTTCCTCATGTGCACAATAGGGATAAAGAGTGCTTCCCCAGCTCATCGGTGAAATTAATGTAACATATGTAAAGTGCATGTATATCCCCAGATGAAAGGTGCCATTGTAATAATATTCAAATTATTATGGAAAATAGATAAAACGACCAACCCCAGCTAAATGATCGTCTAGCTTTTCACCAGATTCATGAGATCCACGCTAAATGTGATAAGAAAATTTCAGATGTCAAGTGGTTTAGAGTCAGCCTGTGCTCATGAAACAGAGCTGGCTGTGCCTTTTAAGTGGAGGATGAGACAGCAAAGAATTTGGGGCTGGGAAAGTTGTTGCTGTGGTTAAGCTGCCCCGGTTTGTTGGATACTAGCACTGCTGAAAGGTGTGTTTGTACAGGACCAAGACTCTGCTATGTCTTGGTCCCATGTTCTTGGCACTAGGGTTGTGTCTGGGCAAGGCTGGTAGCATGCAGACATTTGTGTGTTGTTTCGGAAACAAATGTATGTCCTGGAGTTCCCTTTCACTGGGAAGGAGGTGCTGGCTTGGCCTCTGAAAGAGACACGTTTGGGATCACTGAAAATCCAAGCTCACGGCACATTTGACTCCACAACTGATGCACCCGGGCTCTTCTGGCACCATTGTATAGTTGCCCAGCACCAAATGCTCAATTATAGACAAAATTGAATTTACAATTTGCTTTTGGGCAATGTGTAAATTGGCCCTTCATTGATTATTAATGAAGTGCTAATTGCTCTTTGCAACCAATTTTTATGCAAATGCTATTAGTGCTATTTGCACAATTCTGCAATTTACAGTTTTACATTTGCAATGGCCTGGTGAAAAGATGTGAAAAGATGACAGCTTGTCCTAAAAGAAAACAAGAAAGGGAGGGGGGAGGATATCGCAAAACTTGCAAAACTTGGAGTAGCAAAATAACACAATTAGGAATGAGAAAACATAAAAAAACCCAAACCAACAAAACATGAACAAACAAACTCTCTCTCTTTATTGATTGTTACAGATTCAGCGTTGACAGGGGTTGTTCTGAATGTAACAGGATCCCATGGCAGATGTAAACCAGACTCCAGGCATTTGCTGCGTGTTTCACCGAGGAGGTCAGTGTATGAATTTGCCTGTGAAAACATTGATGAGAGGCTGCCAGCATTACCCATTCAAGAACCTGGAGCTTTTCTTGGTGACAAATGACGTTGTGTTAGTTTGTGAATCGAGCGTGGGCAGCTGCTGAGCTGTTTTGGCGCAGAGCTCCCCTCCGAGGTAACACCTCTCCCCTTCGTGGGGCCAGGAGCTGAGTGCTCTGCATCATCTGCCCGTGGCTGATGTGAACCCACAGCCTTCCTGCCCTCCTTTACCATCACAATGGGCTCCTTTAGACCTCCCTTTGTTTCTGCATTAGAGTAATACCTTGTAGATCATGCAGGGAGTTATATTTTGGCTGAATCCTGCAAGATGGGAGTGCTGTGGGTCTCACTTTGCTAGTGGGGAATGAGAGTTTCCAGTAAGGACTTGTTTGCAGCTCCCGTTTCCTTAGAGGCTCTAGGTGTTGCTACCTGCTCTGAGGCTTCACAGGAAGCCTTTGGTGGAGTATAAGATCAGATTCAGCTCCAAGCTGTTCCCTGATTGCTTCTCCTGTATCAGACAAACTTTTCAGTGAACTTCACTGCAAGGCGGGGCAGCAGAGTGGCCTCATCTGCTGCTGGGGGGGGGGGGGGGCAGATGTTGCTGGTGGCACAGGGTTTGCTGAGTCCCTAACAGACTGTTTCTTAATTTGGATAGGGGCAGGCAGTCATCACTAGGATCCAGAGGAGGAGGAAGCAAGTGAATCACTGCCCAAGTGTGTTACCCCCATCCAGATGTCCCTAAGGGCATAGAATCATAGAATGGCTTGGGTTGGCAGGGACCTTAAACATCACCTAGTTTCAACCCCTCTGCTATGGTTAGGGACACCTTCCACTATCCCAGGTTGCTCCAAGCCCCATCCAACCTGGCCCTGAACACTTCCAGGATTGGGGCAGCCACAGCTTCTCTGGGCAACCTGTGCCAGGTCCTCACCACCCTCGCAGGGAAGAATTTATTCTCAATATGCAATCTAAATCTGCCCTCTGTTAGTTTGAAACCATTTCCCCATGTTTTATCACTACCTCCCCTTGCTCGCAGTCCCTCTCTGGCTCTCTTGCAGACTCTCTTTTGGTACCGGGGGCAGGAGCAGTGGGTCCATACGCCGGGCTCATGGCAGAGCATTTGATGCAAGCAAAGGTCTCTCTGCTGCCCCATTGCCATGAGCAGCTGCCCCTGGCAGGGCTTTCCCGTGGTGCTGTCTGGAAAACCGCTCTCTGTCTCCTCTCTTTCCTCTGGCAGCAGCACAGGAATTCTGCTACAGCCGCAGGGATCGCTGCCCGCTGCCTCGCTCTTGCCGGCAGCACAGAAGGATTTCCTCTTGCTTTGACTGCAGCACGGGTTGTTTCTCGGTGGGATGCTGCTCCTGGCTGTCCCTGACGTGGTTACCGAGGGTGCTGTGGAAGCCGCAGGCACGGAGGACAGCTGGAGCCAGCGGCTGTTTTCCCCGTGGAGCACCGTGCTGTGAGGCCCCGCACAGACACAGCGTGGCACTCTTTTCCAGAGCACCGTGCCTGATCCCGCGCCAGATCCCATCCCTGACCTCGCCAGCAGAGTGAGGCGGCCCCGGTGCTCTCCCAGCCCCACTTACCCCCGTGCATACCCCACTCCAGCCCCCCCGGACACTCCAGCCACTCTGGCTGATGACCCTCAAGCTTGAGGCTGGTGCTCTGCTCGACACCAGAGTCAGAGACCTGCAGCTGCCTGAGCCACCCCAGGGCTCAGCCCCAGGACTGTGTTCAGAGGATGCTCAGAGCATGATGTGTGTGCCTGCGCATCATGAATGTTTTGCAGAAAGACCAGCTAGGAAATAGTTTACAGGGGAGTATAATCTTCATTTTTAATCCTAGAAGAACTGTTTGCATGTGACTTGGAGGTACTGTTGGTTTCACTTGGTATTGGGGAATATAGTCTGCTTTTTCATGGTGGATGTTGCCCTAATCTGAGTGAGGATCCAGATGTGACAGCTGAGGCTTCAGGAGATGGAAATGCAACCAAACCAATCCAGAGGAAAGAGACACCCAGCCACCTCTCCCCCAAAAAAGCCCTGTTGGTGCCTGGGGTAAAATATGCATTGTGGCCAGGAAAGAGCTTTTTCAGCCTAGAAAAACCCAAGGAGCTGAACTTGGCCTTGGCCCAAGGTGGCTGGTGATGTTGGACAAGTCTCCTGGTACTTTATGGTGGGTGCAACAACACTCGTAGCCCTCCAGGAGCAATGTCCTGGGGGCAAACAGCTTCAGGCCCACCAGGACCACCCAAAAGAGAGGGACTAGCACTGCTCTCCCCACTCCAGGAGAATGATGGTTGCAGCTTCAATTTAAATAATTGTTACCAGGGTTTCAGCAGTGACTCATTGGTCTTCCCTTGTTAGAAGGGAACTATCTGGGGACACACCCTGCTCCGTGTTGCCAAGGCACTTCGACTAAAGGGACTTTCTGCACCTCCTTCTGCTCCTTCCTCTCGCCTTTTTTTTTTTCCAAAATAGCCCTGGCTTGGCAGAACATCTCAGCTCTGTGGGCACAGACAGGGTGCATGTGCACAGGGCTGACTGCACCTCAGACTCTGCCATGGCAGCTGGACTCTTGAATTTTTGCTCTTAGTTTTAACAGAGATGGGGAAGAGATCGTTTTGCTGGACCACTGAGCATCTTGTGGATCAATCCATACAGCTTTGTCACCAGGATGTCATCTGCATCCTGAGGTCCCAGCAAGGCAGATCAGTGTTTGGTTCACCTTGACCAGGTGGGCACCTTGAGGAAGGGCAAATATGGGATGGTGAGACAGGAGGGGAATTAACTCATTTAAGATGTTTTAATTTTCAGAATCCTTCCAGGCTTAAACCATGTTTTCATTTTCAGTATTTTCTTCTGTTTTCTTTCCAACAACTGGTTTGGAAGGCTGTTCTACCAATGAAATAGGAACAAAATTGTGTTTTCCCCCACTCCTTGACAGTGGCTGTCTGCCATCAGCAGTGGCAGTCTGGGCTAGGTTTGTTTAATTCATCCTTAGTCTCCAGGCAGCACAGGGAGGCTCAGGAGATGGAGGAGGAAACCTCTTCTCCTATATAAGAACATTTCCTTCCATGTGCTGCTGGATTTTGTTGTCCATAACAAAGTCCCTCCTCAGCATGGAAAACAAAACCCAAGAAGAAAATACGAACCTCATCTTTTGGGACCAGCGTCCTAGAAGGACCTCACTTTAAATCCCCTCCGAAATTTGAGGAACATGTATTTTACATACGATATTATAAAAACGTGGTAAATATTTAATTTTATTTTTATTAAATACTAAATTGATGATGGCTGACACTTTATTAAAGTGTCAAAGTGAGTGTTCCTACATTCTAATTACTTATTCTAACAAGGAGGCAGCCTCGTTGTGAGCCGCGTGTGCCGGCGCGCGCAGGCGAGGGGCGCTCCTGTTAAGTAACACCTATTAAACTATCATTTGCACCTAGAGGCATCTCATTAATATCTCAACTGGTGAGACTGCGCTGCCAGTGCCTACCTGACCCGGGGCGTTGACAGGAGAAATGGCTCCGGGAGGCCTTTCCTCGCTCCAGGCTTTCCTGTACAAATAATTCCTATAAAATTAATAACGACTATTCCACTTAATTGAATTCCTGATAAATGAAGATTCTTCCAGGCCCCTGTTAAAAGCATCCAAGATGCAGGAGAAGCGCTGCACCGCATTCTGGGGACAGTTTTGTTCTTTCCCTCTCTCCCATTCTTGCTTCCTTTGTCTCTCCAAGCCTCTTTCCACCCTATTCATGTTTCCCGCTACTGCCTCCTTATCACTCTTTCCCTTCATTTCCTGACCATGCCTTCTCTTTTCTGCAGCAGTTTCCTTTCTGATCTCCCATTTGATTCCCTTCCACTTCTCTGGCTCTGCCTGGATCTATATTTATGGCTACTTGATGACTAATTTTCCTTCTGGAGCCTTCTTCTTCTTTCCTCTCTTCTCCTTCCATCTTAATTTCCCTTACAACCCTCTTCCATCTGGCTCTTCATCTCACGAGTAAGACCTGTTTCTCATAGGGTTCCTTCCAGGCCCTGAAATGGTTGTCTTAGAGGAATCTCCTCGCTGATGTGAGATCCCTATTGGATGAGGTTGTGGCATTCAAGAGCTGTCCAGTCACCAAGATGATATGTCCTCCCCCAAAGTGGAGTCTGTCATCCTCAAAAATTTGTGGAACATGCATTCATCCCACCTTCCCCATGGATGGAGAGATACCTGTGTGGAGAGCAGATTGTCCTCAAGACAGAGTTCATATGGCCACGACTTGGATGCCAAATCATTACAACAGAGGTAAGGGGCCTCTGTGAGGGACATGTTGGAGATTTAGGGCTTTCTGTTGCATTGCAGGGCTGCTTTTAACATCATTTGTTCTGTTCCTGAAAGTAAAGGAGCTGCCTTGTTACTCTTATCTTGTGCAGCTGCACTACTGGCACTGGAGTTTGTTCATAAGTTACTGGGGTTTGCTTTTGTCATTCCTTCAATAAATATAAAAATAACCACTAAAAAATTCCATTCTATTTTTATTTTATTCCAATTAGAAAAACAAACTTGAAACTAGGCTTAATATTAAAAACACTGACTCGAGATTCAAAGCAAGCAACTTAAAAATAAATAAATACATAATGGAAAAAATATCATTAAATAACACATGAATAACAAGTAATGGGATTTTAATCTTCTTGCTAGGCGAGGCTACTCCTTCAGCACTAAAGGTGACTCACAAGCAGCACCACTCTAGGAAAGTTAAAAGTGATAATTCGACAAGACTAGAGGATTGTGTGGGACTCAAAGGGATGAAACAGCCTTGCAGGGGCTCTCCTTCCTCTGTCTCTTAGTGATGAATGAAAGTGGAAAGCCAGATCAATTCAGAGCTGCTGAAAAATAAAAGATGATCACGTCTTCATGAACACCCAGGTAGGCTGGAAATCACTGCCCCGCGATGCCGTGATGCTGAAAGCTGAGCAGAGTTCAAAAGGAGGCTCAGCATTTTTATGGGTAACTATATCCAGTCTTGTGGGAATTATTTTATATATACATATATAAATCAAATAAAATAACAACACCCGGTGAAGGGGCCTGGAGAACATCTCTGTCTGCCTGCACTGGGTCTCAACTAACCATCAAAGTCGATTACTCTCAAAACAGGGTTTCTTCCACCAACTTCTGCTGCCTCCAGTGGTGGAGCTGAGATGAAGCCTGAGACCTCTGGGGCACCCAGAATTGGGACTGTTGTGCTCAGAGTTTGCACTCGAGTAGTGTGTTTCTTATCACATACTTCTGTGGAGACATCCAGAACAGATTGAGATGAAGATGTGAAAGGAAGAGGATAAGTCAGGGATGGAAAAGATTGGTCTTATGGTGGTGGTGGGAAAGCCAGAAGGGAGGAAGGGGAATATTTGAAAGGAGAAGCAGGTGGAGAAGGAAAGGGATTTATTTTGGCAGGTAGTAGGAGGATGTCAGAGGCCAGTTCGGACAGATGAGAACCTCCCACTGAAATCCAATGGCAGTTACTTGGGGCAAGTCTTTATCAGCAAAGCAGAAAAACTGATTCTTTTGATTAGAGCAAATTGGTGTTGGTACTGTGCTGGTGGGTGAGCTAGGAAACCAGAAACTGGCAAATAGGAGCAGTGAAAAAGCAAGGCAGGAAATAAGAAAAATTTTATGTAAGCAAAGGAGAAGTGTGGAGAGCACTTGGACTGATCAAACTATATGTGTAGGGTGGTTTACACATTTTAGTCTAAAGGAGGTGACAACCCACAGTCGTGAAGACTGGAAGAGGAGGTACCTGCTGGTGAATTTGCTTCATGTGCAGAGAGGACAGGCAGGAGTGGCAGGAGCAGGGAACAGGCACCGTGTTGCCTTCCCCATCTCGCAGCTGGTCATTGTTGTGGGTATAATTTAAGGCAGAACTTGGGCCTTCTCACATATTTCATTCACTCCCTTGATTTTAATTGATCCTGTTATGGGCATTTCAACTATTTCATGAGCCTGTGGTGCCTGGTTTCCCAGGTCAGAGGGAGGTGAGTGCTGTTCCTCTGCCAGAGGGGAAGGCAGTGCTGCCTGTGGGATGGAGAGAGGGCTCTGAGTCCATGCTGAACATGTATGGACCTTGTAATATTTCTACAGCAGCTTTACCTGCCTTGGTTCACCCTTCATTTCTCTCTAACATCTCTCTTTCTTTTCTCTGTTTAGAAAGTTTATATACTCCTGGCTTTTGCAGGAGCACAGTCTGCTCTCATTTGCATTTAGCTCTGACACCATCTCAGCCAGGAGGCTAAGTGGGGCTTCAATGTGTTGCTTGGCTGAAGGGATGGGTTTGGGGTGGCTCAGAATGCTGGATCTCCCTGTCCCCATTGTGCAGGGTCCCCAGGGCTGGCACACACGGTTTGGGCAGCAGCACTGCAGCAGAGCACGGGGCAGAGTGCTGCAGTTTGAGGTGCAGGACTGGGGTGCCATGCCCCAGTGGGCAGTCAGGTGTGTGTCCCACTGCTTGCATGGCAGTGGATGGACCAGGCTGGTCAGAGGTACAGCTGCCCGGCCTCAGATCAGTGTTTATTTTTCAGGCTGAAAGGAAGCTTGTGATCCCAAAGCCCTCTGTGTTTAGCCAGACCTCTCATTCACTTGCAAAGGAAACCCATGTCAGCCGCTCCCCTTTGTCTCCCCTGAGCTATTGCTTTGAATCTGAAAGGATTGGGTGCAGATTTCAAGGGATGTTCAGACAAAGGCTGTTTGAACAGCACTTGTGTAAATAATCCATGAAAAACTCTTTGAATAACGTCAATGAAATTTTCTCTGAATTTGCTATTCTTTTTCTCCAGTGGCAGAAAGAAGTGAAAGTCAGGAAAGGGAGGAGAGTCGGAGGAAGGGAGGGAGAAAGGGAGGAAAGGGGTGGGAGAAGGACTGACACTTTTTTCTCTCTGCCAACTTCTCTCATTGCCAAGTAGCTTGGCTTAGAAAAAAAAAAATCTCTTTGTTATCTTCACAGCTTTAGGAATAATTTCATAAGGGGCCTCTGTGTCCTCAAACTTCTCCGTACATTAAATGTAAGGGGACACCCTAGTATTTTGCCCAGCAAGAGTAATGTCGAGCCAGTTAATTATTAGCCGTATGGTTTAATGTTCACTTGCTGTACATATGCACGAAACAATTCCCCTTTAGCACGTCGTTTAGTTTGCATTAAAATGGAGATAATTGTTTTGATGCCAAATGTTCCCGTCCCACCTCCCCCATCCCTCTTCATACAATTTATACAAATTATAGCCTCAAACAAGAGGGACAAAAAGTCTTTGATTTGGTTCCTTTTGAAGATATCCAAATTGAATCGCGTGCTGTGTTTGGGGACACCTTAGACAGGGCTGGGCGAGGAGGGGGACGGGGGGATCTGCGGTGCCTCCCCCGGAGCGACCTGGGGTGGGACGGGGAGGCTGCGCCAGCTCGGGGAAGGGGCTGTGGGGGCTCTCGGCTTCTTCGGGAGCCGGTTCAGTGGATGTCCAGGAGATGGAGCAGTGTTTCTGTGGCCTCTGCCGCCGGTGCCCCTAACGAGCCAGTCTGTCTGAACTCGGAATGAATTTTGTTCCCTTTTCATCACTCTCTGATGTCCAGCTGCTCCTGTCAACACCTTCTTATAGCATGTAATTCATCGCTCAGAGTGACAGCTGGGGCCGTGGGGCTGGGACCAGCTCCTCCTGCCATCGGCTGCACCCAGAGAGGGTCCCTGGCCAGAGCAGGGGCTTCCCTCGCCCCCTCCCCGCACCTGGGGCTCACAACTCTCCAAAGGATTCCCCAGACAAACCCGGGAGCAGCCCGGCTCGCCCTGAACCCCTCCTGCTCTAACTGGGGAACCTCTGGTGGGGGCTTTGTGGGGAGCATCTTCCAGCCCCCCTCCCCAGTGGGTGCTGCGGGGCTGGGGGAGGCTGAGGAGAAGGGAACGAGGCAGTGCTGCGAGGAGGGAGGATGGCCGAGGCTATGCCGGCAGCTCCTGCAGGATGCAAAGCCACGTGGGCTGCGACCACCCAGTCCTTTTATTCCCGGGGTTTAACTTATTTTGATTGTACGTCAAAGCAGGAGCAACCTTGTCCTCAGATTTATGGGCTTGCACCCAAATTACGAATAGTGGCTGTCACCCCCTGCATCCCCGAGGCACATCTCACAGGGAGATGCTTTGCTAATGTGCACAAAAACGTGCAGCTTCCTTTTGTACCAATCCCCCTACCCAAATGTCCTCTTCCCTACCAACCAGTTTCTGATAATTATCCTTTAACTCAGCACTTCTGCCTTCGATTCTCCCCCCCAGCTTCCTGCCTTCCCATAATTTATTCTATATTTCACCCATTTCTTGTCCTCATTTATAATTCTTCTTTATTTTATTACTTTGCATAATTTCCTTTTAGGATTTGTCATAAAATAAATTCTGCCACCTCTGTCTTCTCACTTCTGCTCTCAAGTGTCAGTGAGCGCTCTCCAGAAGCCGTTTCCAATGCCTGTGCTGGAGTTACCCCAGTCTTGGAGGATCAGGAAACAACCTCAGTTTCAGAAAGGCCTTCCCAAATGTGTCAGCATCCTGAACAACATTTGGAAAGCAGACCCTGAGTGTAAATCCAGGGTGAACCTCCAGCCAGGTTCTTTTGCTGTGGTGAAATGCTGACATGGGCAGAATCATCATCATATGATTGAGCTAACCTGAGTCAAAAATACTGATGACTAAGTGAATGAGGAAGCTGAGGAGAAAAACTGCTGACATATTGATGTCCAATCTGTCCTGGAACGTATGAAAGCACGTGGGGAAACTGAGGCACGGAGATCTAATCCAAATTCTCCAAGGTGTGAGATGCTTGGCTCTCTTTAAAATTAAAGGGACAGAGACATCTGACATTTTTGACAGTTTGTGTCTGATTCACCAGTTCAAAGTCACACAGGACACTTGTAGAGAGGTAATAAAGAAAACTGAATGCAAATTTTCTGTGGTTTATCCCAGAATCTGAATCGTTTAGTTGAAATGTGACCCATCATGAGGAAGAACAGAAGGCTTGGATAAGCTGTTCTATGTTTCAGCGAACTCCATCTCATAGGAAAATAGAAACTATTTATGTGGAGTTAGAGTCCAAATGCTATTGTCTGCTGGTACATTTCCTGGAGAAGAAGGTGAACCTACCACATCCATTGATCAGCCCCAGATAAATGAATTTCCAGTTTCCTCTATGGAGTGGAAATATGAAATTTGCTCACCAGCTTCTGTGCAGGAGAACCATAGGAGGATTTGGGAGAACTATAGGAATACTGATTCATGAATCGTCCTTGCTGCCCAGATACAGGGAGCTTCCAGAACATGAGCTTGTGATGAGGCTCCCTCACCCTTGGAAAGTCCTTTTCAAGTGGTCTTGGATCCAGGAAGGACCAGTTCCATGACAGGCAGTAGAGCTTCAATGCAGAAATGAGATCTGGAGAAGGAGAAGAATACATTCAAAAACCAATCAAACCCCATCCCTGGTAATGTGGGCATCTCCTTGAAAGCACCTTTCCCCCTGCAGACACAAAGAGATCCCATTCCAGCACACCCTTGCAGCAAAGTTCATGGCTGTCCCTGGAGGTGGGTATTCAGGGAACCAGGAATCTGTGGTTCATTTCATTTTTAAGTGCGAGTGTCCTGACAGGAGACTATAGGAACAAATGAAAGCACTTGCTCTGTGCCCAAAATTTGCAGTAGTTTCTCCACTGCAGGTATCTTACCTGCCCTGAGAACTCTGAAGTTGTGATGTCATGTGCTAAGGTTCATGAACACTTTTGAAGGCTCTTTTTGAATGAACCCAGCCCCAAAGATGTCTCTGTGTGTGAGAACCACGTGGTCTCATTTGCCATCCCCTTGATTTCTAAGATTCTGTTGGATTTCAAGCTCAAAGTAAAACCCGTGAGAACAAAACCTTGGAGGGATCAAATGGAAAACATCCTCCTGGTTCTCTTGTGCTGGAGGAAAACCACTGGATTCATCGTTCTAGCGTGTTTTGTTTGGTTTTGTGTGTGCTTTTTTTTCCCTAGTATGGAGAAATCCCTGTGTGGTTTGGGTTTGCGAGAAGGATTTTCCCTTCATGCGCTGCCACAACCACTGAGATCAGCTGAGGCACTCGAGTGAACGGATCCTGGATGTAATTGTCTGAGGGCTGGTGCCAGGTTTTTTCAGAAGAGGGACTGACTGGCTGCGTTTCAGTTCCACCTCTGCCTTGACAGAGCCTGTCTCCTTTAATCATTAGAGTTCAGTGCACGGCTCTCGCCTGGCACGAGTTGGAATTTCATTTGTTTTGGAGGAAGGTTGCTTCTTTTGTTAGTTTAGGTCTTTTGGTTTCAGTTGTGTAAACTGGGACAGGCCAATCCCATTGGCTCTGAGGAGCTGACAGCCAGGAGAAGGCTGGTCTGCTATTCAGTTTTGGGGCTTGGTTTTAAATCTTTAGAACGTTCTGGTTTCTATAATGAGGCATGTTTTACGAACTCTGAACTGTATAAATGTGTGCTTTTCCAAACTCAGGGCAGTCAACACAAACTCAGCGCCATAAACTGAGTTTTCTTGAGCAAACCGAGTTTTGAATTTATTCAAATGGAAGAAAATGGTGTGTTATCACAGCCATGCAAAACTCTAGTTAATTTATGGTAGTATAAAATCCATTTTTTAATGACTGTGACACTGCCAAAATCTTTGCAGATGCAGAAACAGCTTCACAGGAGGATTTCAATCTAACATCAACAGGAGATTTGGAAGATGAATTGTGCAAGGATCTCCTTCCTCCAAAGATGCTGCTTTGTTTTGCTTTTTAGCATTTGGTTTGGCTCTAATATTGTCTGGTTTATGATGTTTTAATTATTGCTGTTTATTTATTATAATCATATTTTAATTGTTTGTGTAGTGCCTTGAGTGCCTTGGCAGGGGGGCATATTATAAATTAAATTATTATTAAAATGTTGTTATTATGTGTACCTACTCCAAACTGAGCTAGAGGAGGGAACACACTCAACTGCCTGGAATTAATTCCTCCCTTTTCCTTTGTCTCTACTCAGGAGCATAGTTCAAAGGGTTGGAGAGAGAAAATGATGTTTCATTGTCTTCTTCTGGGACAAGGCAAGATGAGGGGAGCTCTGATCTGGGCTCCCTTGGAGACCTGGTGCTACTTCTCTTGGGTCCCAGGGATGGAGTTAGGGAAAGGATGTGCTCTGTGAGTCAGGGGGAGGTTGGAGTTATTTTTTAAGGAGGCTGGTTTATGTTTACTGCAGTACAACAGGATTTGCTAGTTCTTAAATTAAAAGGGAGACTGTCACGTGCACTTGTTGTGTGCTTGGAGGGCTTGGCCCTGTCTGAATCCCACTTCCCATCTCCTGACCTTTCTGGTTTGCTGCAGACATCACTGTGGACCCCAGCAGGGTCCCTGCCAGCCCAGAGAAATCCCACCTGGGGAGCCCACAGCTCTGGAAATCACAGCCAAGGTTCCAACCCTCTGGCCCCATCACTGGTGCACAGGGTAGATGCCAGGGCTCCACTTCTGACTTGGCTTCTTTGGGGTTTCCATGTGCCCTGAGGCAGAGACCAGTGGGCATCTCATGACCAAAGCAAAACATCCTCACCCCCAGCTCATCCCAAGATCAAATAGGATCAAATAGGACAAAGCTGGTGGAGAGACACATTCTTTCAATCTTCCTTTATTTCCCTGCAGGTTTTCTCAGATGCCTCTGTCCCAAGACATTCGGGCTGTTGGTGTTGCAGCACGAGCACAGTTAACCCTCCCCTGGGACAACCATGTTCCATGGGATTGAGATCCAGCTTGAAGGCCAACAAACACTCAGACCAATCGATACCATCAAGACTCTTCCCCCAGCACAGAAAAGAAGCATTTCCCCCTCCTTTAGACCTCCTCATAACTTGCTCAGAGGCTGAGGTATGGATTATTTGGGTTCTCCAATCATCTTGCTCTTGCAGGGGTGCCAGAGGTACCCATTTGTTACTGTGATGGGAGCCACACGAGCACCATTGATGGGTTGGTGATAATGTGAAGGTCTCTGTTACATTAGCTGTCAGTTTGCTAATGAATATTAAGAGACAGTTGTCATATGAGCATCTCTACACTTTGGAGCTGGTGGCAAACTTCACACCTTCAGCTCTCCTAATAAGACAGTATTTCATCCCGCTCAAATGCTTATTATAGCTAGTCTGATAGGTACTGTAAGATCTCATTATTTATCTATATGCTTTATTTTGGATAGATAATAGAAAAAATTGCCTAGAAGGGCAGCAATTTATTCCTACCATTTAGGAATAAAACTGTGACTTTAACTTATTCCAGTCTGTGGATTTCTGAATGAAGGCTTCTAGTGGAAGTATAGATCTCTTTGTGTCTTGCTTTGGATCATAAAAGATATTGCTTTTTTTTTGTGGCCTGCTACAGACCTCAGTTCACAACCCATGGGAGACTGGAGGCCATGAGGACAGGAGAGGGAACTGGGCTTGGTGTCTCTGTAGGACCCCTAATGCCTCAATAAACCCGCAGGGTTTCACTAAGCACTCTCCCGTGGTGGCATCAGAGAGGGTCAGCAAAAATAGCTGTTGCTGCAGACATTTGGTGTCAGTCTGAAGAGAAGCCATTTTTTCTGTCTCCTCTCTTCCTTCTATTTAACACAGATCCACATGCCAGGCACCTTCTCCCTCCCTGATATGCATCCATTTACTGGTCCTGCTTTGGGCACTGCAGTTCAGCCTCTGCTTTACCCACTCCTCACTGGCACATCCCCGTGGATCTCCAGATGGGGCTCAGCTGCTGACTTTCCCCACATGCCCTTGCCTCTTCCTCAGGCCCTTTCTGCCCGTCTGTGATGGAAAGGGAGCTGCAATTCCCTGTGCTGCCCCATCCTTCAGCAAAGCCCTGGTAATCCTGCACCCAGGGGCCATTTAGTCCTGTCTGCATGGTTTGTGGCTCTGCCACTGAAGGGTCCTAATTTGGTGTCATGTCAAGAGAGGACCAGAAGGCAGGGCAGGGCTCCCAAGGGCTCCTGATTTTACAACCATGCAAAGGGTGAGCTTGGGAAAGGGTATTAGTTAAAACCAAGCACCCACCAGCTGTGTTGTTACTCTACCTCTGTTTTCCTCCTTCTGGTGCCCTGGCTTAAGGTTTTAATTTTATTGTGTTCATTGATGATCATTACTAAACTGAGGATATTTTGGCATAAAGACTTTGAGCTCCTCTGACTTTCTGAGCCTGTAATAGGGCAAGTAACCCTGTGCTTGGATCAGGAGGGCATAAGGAGGCAGACACACATGCCTCCCTCACATGCTGGTTATAGTGGATGTAGCCATAGGATAAGTGTAATATAATTACATTGCCCTGTGATAAACCACGCCTAACTCAGCTCCGTTCTTCCCACTAATCCACCTCCAGTGGGACTTTTCCTAATGCCA